TGCAATAATCCTGTCTCTGAGCTCTGCGGGCAGTTCCTTTGACCTCATGGCTTTTGCTCTGGTACAGTATGCATTGTCAGCTGCGAGGTCTTCTATAAAGAGGTGTGTGCCTTTCCAAATCATGTCCAATCAATTTTATTTACCACAGGTGGACTCCAGTCAAGGTGTAGAAACAGCTCAGCAACAATCAAGAGAAATGATCTGAGCTGAGGTAAATTTCAAGTGTTGTTGCAAAGGATCTGAATAGTTATGCCAATGTAATAGTTCAGTTTTTCCTTTTTCATAAATTTACAGACATTTTTAAAATTCTGTTTTCACTTTGCCATTATGGGTACTGAGTATAGATTAATGAGAAAAAAATGAATTTGAACTATTGTAGTATCAGGCTGCAACATAACAAAATTGAAAAAAGTGAAGGGGGTCTGAATACTTTCCAAATGCAAAAAGATTTACATAACCATCACATATGATAAAATGTTCTTAATCATAATTTTCTATTGTAGTATCAGGCTGCAACATAACAAAATTGAAAAAAGTGAAGGGGGTCTGAATACTTTCCAAATGCAAAAAGATTTACATAACCATCACATATGATAAAATGTTCTTAATCATAATTTTTCCAACATTTTTGGTTATATGATTTATTTTTGTCATTATTTACATAGTTAGGTACCATATCTGTAGTATTTTTTTTACCAATTTTCCCTTAGGTTATAATTTGGGGTAAATTTCATAGATTTTTTTCCATAATTTGTCCCACTATTGTATCATTGTTTCTTTGAATTTTTGCATCTGCTTTATCATAAATTCTTACTTTTTCTGCCTCCATGTCATATTTTAATAAACACTGAGAGAGAGACAGAGACAGTTTGGCATAGGTTAAGGCACTGGGCTAGAAGCCGGGAGACTGTGAGTTCTTGTCCTGCCTGAGGCACAAAGCCAGCTGGGTGACCTTGGGCCAGTCCCTCTCTCTCAACCCTAGGAAGGAGGCAAGGGCAAACCACTTCTGAAATCTTGCCAAGAAAATTGCAGGGACCAGTCCAGGCAGTCACCAGAAGTCAACACTGACTCAAAGGCACAAGTATATATTTGTGATATATAATCTCCCCATCCTAATAAGTGGTCTTTGTTCTGTGTGTGTGATGGAATGGAATTATGAAGGCCAGGCTAAGGGAGATAAACATTTTCTTAGCTCCCCAGAAGAGCGTGGGAGGAACAAGAGGATGAGACTGGCTTCACACTGTTG